GCTAACTAAGTGTACTTTAGGAGATAGTCGGCTCGCACATGTCATCTGAAGCGTTCCCCCTTTTGGTCGGGACATAGCCGGACGTCACAGCAGGCCCCCCCGCAGGTAGACTGGCAACAAATGTCAACACTGTCCGCAGCGCAGCGTTGTCAGAACGACTCTCTCGGACGATCAAAACTTCGATGTATTGTGAATGTCGTGCGTCGCCGCATTGGACTTGCACATCGAGGCTTCCCACTCGAAAAATGGTTTGACCCCTGTCGGGGCTGTTCCGCACAACCGGGAAAGGGCCATCCCAGCCTCCCCAGTCGCCCATTGTAGTTGTGGGGCGATAATAGTCGACCAAGTCTCCTTCATCGTAGTAGTGCTGACCGGTAATAGTTGTCTTAATACGCAATGCACGATTGGTCTTGGCTGTTGCAGTACCTTGCGCGATAGCTTCAATGCATACCTGGCGAATCACCTGTTCTCGGGAATGATCGAATGTCTCTGTCGGCTGCTCATGATCCAGAACAGGCAAGTCAGGAAGCACTGCTGGTTGCCGCCCAAACAGAACGCTGCATGGAGACACTTCATTGTAGAATGTGAACGCGCTGGCGGCAAAGAAAGCTCCACGCAGCAGTCGTGTGAATACAAACGGAATGTCTAACCTTTTGAACTCAGTTTTCACGACGTGAAGTAAATGGCGTAATATGCCCTTCTGGCTTCAGTTGTCGCAGCGCGTTGCCCACGCGCGCGCGCTCAACTCAGCGCCTTTTGATTTGAGGACTGCCTTAGCCGCGTCGTTATTCAGGGCACCCTCCCCATCGGAGTAGAGTACCTTGGCAGGTCCGAACTGCATCCGGCACTGATGATACGCATCTAAGAGATTGGTCATTATTTTATCTGGCATCTCCATGCCAGTAGCACATCGAAAATAACGATCAACGATGCGGAATCCGCCGATCCAGCGCGTGAGTTTAAGAAACCTACAACTTGGGCTTCAACTCTGCTGGGGGGGGCCGGGGGGGCTCTGCCGGGGTAGGGGGGGAGGGGAAGGGGGGGGGGCATCGGGCCAACGCCCCCCCCCCCCCCCCTCGGGAACCCCAAACAGGACGCCACAAAGACGGCCCAGGAGGCGCCCGAAGCGGCCCAGGAGCGCCCCTGGACGCCCAAGATGGCCTGAACTGCCCAAGAGGCCTTCAGGACGCAAGGAGATCCCAAGAGAACCCCCAAGAGGGCCTCTCAAGAGGTCAATAATAAAGTTGCTAATAGGTTTTGAAGCATTTTAACATGATCTCCTTTTCCGTCTTAGAAGCACCGAAGACGGTCGGTCCAAGAGACCCCCAAGATCGCCCCAAGACAACCCAAAAGGCCCCCAAGAGGAGCCGAGGCGGTCCAAGAGGGCCCGAACATAGCCCCGGAGGCCCCCCAAGACGACCCCGAGAGGCCCCCAAGATGGCCTCAAGAGGGTGAACCCGCAGGGGCCCTTCTGGCCCCCCACCCCAAGATGACCCCAAGAGCCCACGAGATGCCCCCGAGGAGCCCCCAAGGGGCCCCCAGAGGCCCCAAAGAGGCCCCCAGGAAGCCCCAAAGGCCCCCAAGAAGCCCCAAGAACTAAGAGGCCCCAAGAGGCGCTCAGACGCGCGCTGCCAACGCATGGACCGACTTGGAATTGCTCGGGAGCGGAAGCGATGACCGAAGAGCTTCCACCCGTCGCCGTCGCCAGTCGTCGGTCGTCGGCCGTCGGCAGCCGTTCGCCGTCAATCGTCGTCGTCGTCGTCGTCGTCGTCGTCGGTTCGTCGTCGTCGTCGGTTCGTCGTCATTAACTCCTTCGTCGGTCGTCGTCGTAATTATCCCGCTCGTCGACCGTTGGTCGCCCGTTGTCGTCGTCATCGTCCATTTCAACAACAATAGCATCAGGAGCGCCCCGGATCGGCGGCACTGGCCGGAGGCCACTACAATATCTGATGTTCCTGTGTGTAGAATATCAGTTCGCATTCGACTTCTTCGTTAAACTTGCCAGGTAGTGCCGTAGACGGCATGACCGCATGCCCTGGCTTATCCCATGCCCTGCACTCCCGACATGTGTCACATTTACCTTTGATCAGGTTATGCCCGACGTTGTCCAGACCAGCTTTGGTTAAGACGAGTCTAATCTGAGGCTCTTCAGAATGGAACAATCGCAAGTGTAGTTTCCGCAACTCGCGTATCACCACGCTTGGGCCGAGGCTCCGTAGATTATGTAAACTGATTTGGACATCGAACCTCGACCAGTCTGGGAGTCGCGGGCGCGCAGCAGGGCTACCCGCAGGTGGTGGTGGAGGTGGAGATTCCCCCTGCTGCCGGCCGCGTCTGGCTCTGATATGTGGCAGTCGTCTGTGATCATCCGAGCTACCGGCTCCGCTCGAGGCACGATGCCCCGCAGCAGGTTCAGCAGCAATGTCTGCCTACTGTAATATCGTAGCTGCTGGCGCCAGCTGCAGGTCCAGCCCTGAAGCCAGGTCTCGGTGCTCGTGGCCGCACAGGTGGCGGCGCGGCCTGTGCCTCGGGAGGTGGCGCTGCTGGTTCGGCAGGAGCTGGGCGTTCCTGTCCGCGGCTGTCAGGCAGCGCCCACGGCGTGGCAAACTCGAATTCGCCAGGTGTCCGTAGGTGACCAGTCTGGTCATGGCCGTCGTTCTTCTTGCAGCTAGGACATTCCCAGCGGTAGTCCCCCTTGTCGCACCACCTACAATAATTGGGGCCTCTGCCATGCGAGCGGGAATACAGGTTCACATTATCCGCGCGCGCAGGACATCACGATCCCCCCGAGGGCGGCAGATTGATCGAACAGTCGGGATGTCGAAGGATACTTGGAACATCCAGGTCAAATCCTCGCGCGTTGGTAACAGAAGCGGAGGAAGGATAAGGATGGCCATGGACAGGATCACTGTTCACTAGGAGTAGATCGTGTACGATCTGGGCTGCGTCGACAAAAAGAGACTGCATCTTCGGAGCAAATTGTGCAGCCCGGGATAAATCTTTATTGTGCACCGAAGCATGCTGATGATGGCCAGCACACCGCTTCCGTTCGAATGACGCAAGTAAGAGACGGCGGTTAGCCATCATCGCCACGGGAGCCACGGAGACCAGTAGTACATTGGTCCATAGTTACTTTGCAAGGGCCCTCGAAGTTGGCCAATGTTGTCCATGGCGGTATTTCGCCCACCCGAGTACCCAGCGGGTGTTCTCGTAGATAAAACCGTCGAAGGTCGTTTTGACGAATGGAAACCATCCCACAGAACTTGATATGTGGAAGGTCTTCTTTATGGTGTTCATGCCACGTGTCATAGTTGACTTGGGAATGTAAGTACGAGGGTAGTCCAGTCGTTCTGCAATTGGGTCGCACTAGAAAACATTGACGAAACACACGTCTCAGTGATGCATCGCTGCGTCCTGGACGTCCTTGTTTCCCAGGTCAACATATGAACGTTCGTCCAGGTATCCTCATGAGGATATACCGCGGCTGAAAGCTAACTGCCATATCCCCCCGCTTCCTCCAAACAACTCCCATCTGTATATACATATATATACATACGTACATACATACATACATACATATATATATATATATATATATATTCACACATATACCTCGCTGTGTCGTCCGCAACACAAGGTCAGGATTATGGAGAACACATCGGCATGCGCATCCGCAGGTGGACCCGCGGGCAACGCGATGAAGGTTCCCTCTGCGCCATCACTATCGGTGTCGGAGTCAAGGGGAACGTCGGTGCAGTAAGCACCACATCCGAGACCTTTTAGGTCGTCACCGCAAGCATCATTGCCGTCTTCGGCTACTTTGGGTAACTTGCGCGGTTTGATGCCTGCTTCTTTGTCGGCTTCTTGCTTTCCTTGTTGTTTGGTCCGGGCATCTGTCGGCAATGCTGTCAGCTGTTCTGCGCCGGGTGAAATGAGTGTCGGAAATTCGGGAATTGGGGGGGACACGCGGCCACGCTCAATCGAGGGGGGGAAGACGATCGTCATCGACGAACGCAACCCGCCTTGGGCGCGGTCGCTGGCCCTCCTGTCCGATAAGGAGTCGTGCCGGAGGCTCCCAGAACAATCGAGTGCGAATATTTGTCACAGCATTTGGCAGCGGCGCAATGTAATTGCACCCGATAGGTTGGTCCTGAATTTTAAAACCTTGCATCGCAAAATTGTCGTCAAGATTCATCGTCACCCTTCTCGCAACATGGCCCCAGTCAGGGTCTTTCTTAGGGGACTGCACGTAAGTTCGAGCTCCTTTATCCACTGTTGCCCTGAGGGTGGTCAGACGCTGAAAATAGCAACCCCAAGGTCTATACATTAAGTTTAACGTCTTGCGTTAGACCACGTCTGGACGTTAAAAACGTCCTTGTGCGATGATCGCACTCAGGCAGGGCATGCGATACTCTGCAGCGAATGGCAGCGCGCGAGAAAATCACAGCCAAACGCTGCTGCGAAGAAGCGAAACACAGCCAAACGTTGCTGCGAAGAGGCCAAACACCCCACCGCAAGATGATGGCAATGATAAATGACGACGATGGATGACGATGAGCAGATCAGAAAGTGAATGATGTTTCGCGTGCTATCTCCAACAAAAATCCACATGTTCCCCACCTAACTCCTCCCATGTCGTAAAATTGGTTGCAACACTTTTTCAAGAGTACCGTCCTTTGGATACAGCGAGTCTGCATAAATCACATTCCCATTGTGCGAAACGACCGGGTCTTGATCGATATGGCCTGCCTTGAAGATTGCTCCTGGTTGTTCCACCACTCGTGGCCCCTCCACTCGGTTGTTTTGTTAGCCCATCTCTCACTATCCATGTTTGCCGGCGCGCCTGCCCAGTTCAATGTTGCAACAGGTGGGCCTTCGCCCAACATTCGACTCTGGCGCTCCGCGCTTTCCTATCCGCAATTGCTGTCGCACGTTTGATCCGGGGAACGCAGTCCTCGTCTGGCCGTCGACGCGGGCCCACCATCGCTCGAAGCACCAGCCTCTGCGTGGACCGCAATTTCCTCGCCTGCGCGACCGTAAGTTCCCAGGGCTCTGCGCACCGCGGCGCCGACTTCGACACTGCGGAGTCGAAGAGTAACAAGCGCTTCATTTCTGAAGCCGCACGCGTCTGCAGAAGCGAGCGGAATGACTGGTACTTTGCCCGGGCAACTCTTATGCGGCCAGCGAATTCCGCGCGCGCGCTCCCATTCACTGACACGATCGCGCCCAGGACTTCGAAGCCGGCGGAGCAGCTGCATCGAGATAAACGGCGCTGGCCCAATTTCAAAACCTCGCCCGCTTGAACGTCCACGCCTGCGCATTGAACGCTGCATTTGCTCTCGTCATTCTGCAAGTGCGTCGGCAATGCCAGTTAGCATTCACCAGCGCCTGTCTGGACTTCGCGACCAACGTCGCGCCACTGGCAAACATAGCGCATGTAAACCGACATCGCCCAAACACGTTACCCCAATCACGGCGCCGCGCCATTCGCGCCCCCATTCGCCCTTCAAGCTTGCCATAGCTGCCCGGACCGCGCTCGCAAAGAGCGACGGCGACGTTGGGTCTCCTGGACGCGCGCCCCGTAGGATTTCGAAGTATATGCTCCTTACTGCGCAATCGACGCGGACATATGCCTCCCGTCTGTCACGCCAGCGGCGGATTGCATTGATGTCTGCGCCACTCACGCGCGCGCGTTCCAAGCCGTAAAAAATGCTGACTGTCTGATTTGATCAGAAGCCGTCAAGATCAAGCGATGCGACTCGCACTGTTTTGTCCCATTCGCTACTTTCGTCGCTGATCACGCGCAGTGCGTGGACAAGACCCCGGCGCCCGCAATTTTTACGAAACCCCATCTTTTCTGGAGCGCGGCGGTGATCCAAGACCTTCTCGAGTCTACGTGGGAAGGCGCCGCCGTGCAGCTTGCTGAGGACAGGGACCATCGCGATGGGCATGCAGTTCTTTGGTAAAGTGGCATCGCCTTTTTAAAACAACGCGACCAATCTTGACCGTGCCCAGGCTGCCGGCACGGAAGCGGAACCATTCATCATGTCCAAAAAAACATACCCAAGAAAGCTTCGCCACTTTCTTTGGGCATCTCTGCGACGATGCCATCGTCTGAACACGTTTTGTCTGTCTTCATTGCTCTGATCGCGCCCCGGACGTCGGCCGTCAGTTCCTCGGGTCGCGCCTCTCCCCGGCGCGGGTCTGGAGATTGGTCTGCGCGCGGCGCGTCGTACAAATTCTGGTAGAGAGCAGCGAAAACCTCTGCGATGTCATCCAGGCTTGCCTGTATATAGCCATATGCGTCCTTCGCGGCTGCCATGCGTCTCTTCAACTTTGGGGCTGTTTCGACATGGTTCAAACCTATCGCGCTCCCTCTCTGAATCATGCAATCTACTTGTGGATATGCTTTTCGGCGCGCGCGGTGCCGAATTGCGCGAAACAGCTTCAATGGCAAATCTCGCCATTCCTCCTCGGTGGGAGCTTGCTTCCGCGCCCCCCGGAGGTCTTTCACATCTTGCGGCTCGGTCCCCCGATTGTTTCCCACATGTGTAGCGCCCTCGAATTTCGCAGCCACTTGAACGACGGCCTCCGCGAGTAACTCGATTGATCCCTCATGCAAATCCCCCATTGCCTTGCGCTGCGCTTCGCGATGTTCGTCTTCACGCCTGGTTAGCTTCCAACCCCAATTGCGCGCTGCAGGTATTTTGCCGACACGGCTCTGCGGTCTGTTCGTTGGATCAGATCGCCCACGACACGCGAATTCCCCATCCCATGATTGATCTTCGCACCCACCAGAAGGTCATCAATGCCTCGGACCCCCCGCGCCCCACATTCGCTGGGCCCACATATCGGAGGCAGGTCAGCAGAAAAATGCAGTGACACTTGCGAAACGACGCCCCAGCGACCCACATACAAACGCCTGCCCCCTATCGTTCCGCAGCCCGGAACCAAACTTGCCCAAACAGCTGGGGGGGTCAAAACCTGTTAGCTTTCCAACCGAGGCGTTTGCATCTATCCCAATCAGCGCGGATTTGCCCCCTCTGTCTGATGATATCGCGTCGGCCAAAGCCGCCAGCGCACCGTCGCGCTCACCGTCGCCCTGCACGCGCGCGGTAACTACCCCCCATGACCCCGTCTATGAAGACAAATCTGCGCGCGCGATTCTGCCGCCCGCTGCACCCGAAAAGTTCGTGAGAAATGATGCCCGCGATCCATGAACAAGAATTGCTACGCTTCTCGGCCGATCCCCATATGCTGCCACGCACCAAATGTGTCCTCCTTCCACTGCTTCCATTGTAGTTACAATGCTTTTGGGGCCTTCTTGGATGAAAACGACATCCCATTCAAAAACTAAGAATCGAGCGTTGATTACAGAATCCGTGAAATCGCCATCGCCGAGGCCAGCGACGTTCCAAGTTATTGCCCGCAACGCTGCATTTCCATCACGCGGTTCGCGCACACTGCCTACCTCTGCCTGGCCAGCCGCCCCTCTCGACGATGAAACTCGCGAGACTCATGCTGGAAAGTCGCCGCCCACAGATGCATGCGACCCTCTTTCTGATCCCCCTTCCGCTTCCCCCTCCTCTCAAAATTGACCTGGCAGGGCTCGCCCATCGCAAATGTACTCTGGACGTTCGGAGGGGCGCCCCCGTCGATGACAACATCAATATCACGTCTCCCCCCTCTTCTCTCCCCCTTTTCCCCCTCCTCATTCTCCCTCGCCGTCCCAAAATAGACCATGTAGAAATTGCCCGTGTACTTGTACTGTGATACTTCCTCCTCCTCCTTCTTGTATGTGTCCCCCGTCAAATCCAGTTGTCTCCAGGCGTGCGAATACTTGCCATTCCTTCATGGAAAATCCGCACGATGTTCTGCACGTGCAAGGTTTCGCCCTGGCACTGAATGCTCTTCTCCTCCTCGTCCTCCCAGTCCTATTTTGCGCTCCGCCCAGAATGTCCTGACGTCCGCAAGCGCATGCCCTCTTAACTCTTCGAGTTGGTTTTCCATATGCCTTAGTTTGTTGTCGGAAGTCCTCTTTTCGATCGCGTCATTGCTCTTGAAACGCATGTTCGCTCCATCATCCCACGATTGCTGCATAGACCCAGATTTCTTAAGAAACCTACTTGTGGTTGCATCCGAAACGCCGATGTTGGAAAGGCCTGCGAATACGAAAATATAGTTGCACTTGTTCCCAGACTCTAGATTATCCACTGTTTGTTTGACCTGCCGAATGGCGTATTCCTCGTCCTGCGCCTTCTTCAAGCAAGTTGCGATGACCTGCTGATCCCTATTGCCCCTCTCGTATACTCCCGGATATGACTTCACCGGCGCCTTCTGGCTAAGATTCGTAATCAAATTGCGAAGCTCCTTGATGCTTTGCTCGAGCTCCTCATCTTTCTTCTGCATATCACTTATATCTTGTTTGATATTGTCGACGTCATCCGATGCTTCGGATGCTGCCGACGCTCGCATTGCAATGTATTGTGTTTGTTGCATGGTAATATGCATACCAGTCATCATTTCAAGCATACTAAATATTTGTGTTATTGGGTCATTTCGAAGCTCTTCAACTTCTTATCGTCAGGGGAACTGCCACTACCCCCTCCGACTTGCGAGTTGGTATTCATTTCTAAAAACGAATAGACTCTACCCCCCCCCCCGGCGTTATCCCCCCCCCTTTCGGGCATGTAAATCATATACGATTCTGACCACATGTCCATACGAAATATGAATTTACTCTATCCCAGGGGGGCCGGTATCGCTCCCCCTGAAGTTCCCTTGTAAAAACCATACGCGGGGACATTTTTTCCTCTAACATAAGACTTGTTCCCAAATCCCTTGCAAAATTATCCTGGCGAAAGACCCAACCATAAGCAATTGTTGGTAACGCGTTGTGGGTGCCGCTTTCGGTGGGGCTCCATATGGGGCCACGAAGCGCTGCCTTGGATAGGGGGAACCGCATGCGGACTGCGCCACCGGGGCGGGCCTTCGGTGGAGCTCCCTATGGGGCTACGAAACGCTGCCCTGGGTGGGGGAACCGCATGCGAACTGCGCCACTGGGGCCTTCGGTGGAGCTCCCTATGGTGCTGCCCTGGGTGGGGGAAGCGCATGCGAACTGCGCGGGGGCTTCGGTGGAGCTCCCTATGGGGCCACGAAACGCTGCCCTGGGTGGGGGAACCGCATGCGAAGCCACTGGGGCCTTCGGTGGAGCTCCCTATGGGGCCACGAAACGCTGCCCTGGGTGGGGGAACCGCATGCGAACCCCACTGGGGCCTTCGGTGGAGCTCCCTATGGGGCCACGAAACGCTGCCCTGGGTGGGGGAACCGCATGCGAACACCCCCACTGGGGCCTTCGGTGGAGCTCCCTATGGGGCCACGAAACGCTGCCCTGGGTGGGGGAACCGCATGCGAAACGGGAGCTACGAAACGCTGCCCTGGGTAGAGCTCCCATGGGGCCACGAAACGCTGCCCTGGGTGGGGGCATGCACACCCCCACTGGGGCCTTCGGTGGAGCTCCCTATATGGGGCCACGAAACGCTGCCCTGGGTGGGGGAACCGCATGTGGACACCCCCACTGGGGCCTTCGGTGGAGCTCCCTATGGGGCCACGAAACGCTGCCCTGGGTGGGGGAACCGCATGTGGACACCCCCACTGGGGCCTTCGGTGGAGCTCCCTATGGGGCCACGAAACGCTGCCCTGGGTGGGGGAACCGCATGTGGACACCCCCACTGGGGCCTTCGGTGGAGCTCCCTATGGGGCCACGAAACGCTGCCCTGGGTGGGGGAACCGCATGTGGACACCCCCACTGGGGCCTTCGGTGGAGCTCCCTATGGGGCCACGAAACGCTGCCCTGGGTGGGGGAACCGCATGTGGACACCCCCACTGGGGCCTTCGGTGGAGCTCCCTATGGGGCTACGAAACGCTGCCCTGGGTGGGGGAACCGCATGTGGACACCCCCACTGGGGCCTTCGGTGGAGCTCCCTATGGGGCCACGAAACGCTGCCCTGGGTGGGGGAACCGCATGCGAACACCCCCACTGGGGCCTTCGGTGGAGCTCCCTATGGGGCTACGAAACGCTGCCCTGGGTGGGGGAACCGCATGCGACACCCCCACTGGGGCCTTCGGTGGAGCTCCCTATGGGGCCACGAAACGCTGCCCTGGGTGGGGGAACCGCATGTGGACACCCCCACTGGGGCCTTCGGTGGAGCTCCCTATGGGGCTACGAAACGCTGCCCTGGGTGGGGGAACCGCATGTGGACACCCCCACTGGGGCCTTCGGTGGAGCTCCCTATGGGGCCACGAAACGCTGCCCTGGGTGGGGGAACCGCATGCGAACACCCCCACTGGGGCCTTCGGTGGAGCTCCCTATGGGGCCACGAAACGCTGCCCTGGGTGGGGGAACCGCATGCGAACACCCCCACTGGGGCCTTCGGTGGAGCTCCCTATGGGGCCACGAAACGCTGCCCTGGGTGGGGGAACCGCATGCGAACACCCCCACTGGGGCCTTCGGTGGAGCTCCCTATGGGGCCTACGAAACGCTGCCCTGGGTGGGGGAACCGCATGCGAACACCCCCACTGGGGCCTTCGGTGGAGCTCCCTATGGGGCCACGAAACGCTGCCCTGGGTGGGGGAACCGCATGCGACACCCCCACTGGGGCCTTCGGTGGAGCTCCCTATGGGGCCACGAAACGCTGCCCTGGGTGGGGGAACCGCATGCGAACACCCCCACTGGGGCCTTCGGTGGAGCTCCCTATGGAGCCACGAAGCGCTGTAATGGGTGGGTGAAACGCAGAGAGGAGGGAGGAGAGGGAGGAGGAGGGAGGAGGAGGGGGAGGAGGAGGAGAGGAGGAGAGGAGGAGAGGAGACGCGGGCACCGTCTCTTCAAAACGAGGACCCAACACCACAGGATGGTTGGGAAAAAGAAACGAAGTGCACACGCGCGCGTCGTCGCGCGCGCATGCCGAAATCCTCCAAAAAACGTCGGTGCCGGAAGGATTTCGCAATCGAGCTTCCAAAAAAACAAACAAAAACACAGGATTTCGCAACACGGACTTGCTAAAAAGCTTACGCGCGAGCCCTTGCGAAATCTTCAGAAAACCATTGGTTTTTCAAGAGTCTCACAAAATGCTAACAAACGGGCTTCGCGCGCGCATGGCGAATTCTGTCGAACGCCATTGCGCGTGTGCCGTCGCGAGAATCCTCTGCAACAGAAAAAAGGAAGTGCAGACGCGCGCGCGTCGTCGCGCGCGTATGCCGAAATCCTTCAAAACCCATCGGCTTCGGAAGGATTCCAACATCGAATGTTCAAAAACCCTTCAAAAACACAAGACTTCGCAACACGGATTTTCCACAAAAACGTGCGCGCGCGCTCTTGCGTCGTCGTCGTCGTCGTCGTCGCCGTCCTCCCTCCTCCCGCGTCGTCGTCGTCGTCGCCTACGTCGTCCTCTGTCTTTCCTCGTGTTCGTTGTCGTCGTCCTCTTTGGCGTCGTGGTCGTTTCCGTCGTCGTTGTCGCCGTGGTCGTCGTTCCTCCTCCTCCCTCGTCGTCGTCGTCGTCCGTCGTCGGCGTCTCGTGGTCGTCCCTCCTATTTCGTCGCCGTCGTCGTCGGCGTCGTCGTCGTTGTCGTCGTCGTCTTCCCTCCTCCCTCGTCGTTTCGTCGTCGGCGTCGCCGTCCTTCCTCCTTCTTCGTCGTTCGCGTCGTCGCCGTCCTCCCTCCTCCCTGGTCGTTGTCGTCGTTGTCGTCAATGTCGTCGTTGTCGCCGTCGTCGTCCTCCCTCCTCCCTCGTCGTCGTCTTCGTTGGCGACGTCGTCGTCGTCTTCGTCGTCGTCGGCGTCGGCGTCGTCGTATTCGTCGTCGTCGACGTACGTCGTCGGCGTCGTTGACGTCGTCGTCGTCGGTGTCGTTGTTGTCGCAGTCGGCGTCGTCATCGTCGTCGTCGTTGTCATCGTCGTCGTCGTCGTTGGCGTCGGCGTCGTCGTCGTCGGTTTGGTCGTCGTCGTCGTCGTTGTCGGCGTCGTCAAAGTCGTTGGAGACGTCGTCGGTGTCGTCGTAGTCGTTGTCGGCGGCGTCGTCGTCGTTGTCGCTGTCGTCGTCGGCGTCGCTGTCGCTGCCAAGTGCCATTTGGTACCCACCGTCACGGTCTTAAGAGATTTTGCAAACAAAGTTGCGGGTGGGTGAGCGGGATGTTTGCGCGAGCAGTGGAGTGGACAACTCACTGCGAACAGAAATTAATCCAACCAAAGCTTTCACAACCTCCATCTTGCCCTCACAAGAAGTTGCTGTCACCCTTGCACTGGCCAACAAGAGGTGTTCAGTAACAAGTTATATGAGCCAAGACGGTGACTTGAGCCAAGACGGTTACTTGGGCCAAAACGGTTGCTTGAGCCAAGACGGTTACACATACAGACATTACATACAAGCAGACATTGATATAGTACCAGATAAACATAGATACACACATCGATACATACATACATATCCGAACATAAACACATATAACCGTAAATTGGTAAACACATGCATAACTAAATTCAAAAATGAGTACGTACGTGGATAACTCGATACATAGCAGATGAATGAATACAGGAAGACATAAACAAACAAATTCGCCGGCCCAACGGGCCAGAGGCGTGCTAAGATCTCCAGCTACTGGTAAGCACCATTTCTAGTTCGCGCGCGCGGGGTGGCCCCTGGGGGTCCCTAGACGATTAGTACCCCAGCCAGTACTACCCAGAGATGGGTTTTCCTTCTGGGCGCGGCTTTCAGGCGCCCCCGAGCGCTCCTAGAGGGCCCAAAGAGTCCCCAAGACGGTCCAAGAGGGCTCCGAGTCGCCGACTGATCGGTCCAAGACTCCCACGATCGCCTCCAGACGGCCGCAGACGCTCCCAAGACGCCCAAGGAGGCCTCGAAGAAGCGTCTCAAGAGGCTCCAGGAGGCAAAAACAATTGATATCCATTCGGTTTTTGAAGGATTGTGCCGTTCTCATCTGTTCGGCTTCCCGGCGCTCTAAGACGGCCCAAGAGGCCCAAAATATCCCCCCAAGACGACCCAAGAGGCCTCCAAGAGAGCCCCAAGACGGCCCAAGAGGGCCCCAAGACGGCCCAAGAGGCCTCCAAGACGGCGCAGGGTATCCCCAGGACGGCCCCAAGATGGGGCCAGACGGAGAACCCAAACGGACATTTCGAGCCCTCGGTCCCAAGACGCTCCCAAGACGCCTAAAGATGCCTCGAAGAAGCGTCTCAAGAGAGCTTCGGGAGGCAAAAACCATCGATATCCCTTCGGTGTTTGAAGGATGTTGCCGTTCTCATCTGCTCGGCTTCTTGGCGCTCAAGGACGGTCCAAGAGGCCCCAAATATCGCCCCAAGACGGCCCAAGAGGCCTCCAAGAGAGCTCCAAGAGGGCTCCAAGAGGGCCCCAAGAGACCTCCAAGACGGCCCAAGATATCCCC